CCCCCGGGCCCCCTGGTCCCCATGGCTGGGGCTGCCCTCTCGCTGCTGAGCTGCGGATTCGGAGCAGCTGCCTGTGGGCGGGGAGTTCCTTGTCTCCTGATGCCAAGAAGCCGACTTGGGTGGCCACATGGGCCTCCCTGGGGGCCTTGCTCACAGCAGGCCACGCTCTCCCCACGCCCCCAGCCGCCGCCACCGTCCTCACTCCCCCCACCCCCAACAACGGACTCAAGATGAACTCTGGAGCGCATGCCGCTCTCGCTGCCATTCGCCTATTCTCACCTGCACAGCCTGCATAGCGGCGCCGGGCATGGCGGCCTCCCTGGCCTGTATTGCAAAGAGCTGTTCACACGTATTCCAGACCCCGCCTTGTACTGTCTCACGGGTTTTGACTCCGGCTTTGCAGCAGGTTCTGAGTCGAGACCAGAGCAGGAGGGTGACCCAGAAACAACGCCGGCGCCTGTTCTAGATTGCGGAGGGGGGTGAGGGAGGAGTGGTGGCTTCCCCTTTAATGGAAGGCAGTCATTGCGCCGCAATGTAGGCACCAGGTTGGGGGGCCAGGGGGTGGGGAGGCGGGTACATTGGGAAATTGTTCATCGGAGACCCAGAAGCCCCGAGAATATGTACCATGTGTAGGTGGGGTGAGAAGGTATCCTATTTCACTGCCAGGCACTAAGCAACACTATTTGAAAAGAGAGAAATAGTGAAGAAGAGAAGGAGTCGGGTCCCGTTGTGGTCTAGGAGGAAGTCAAGGCTACAACATGTCAAATGGAAATCCATAGACTCTCTCCTGGCAGAAAGCCACCAGCTTCCTTTTTCAAAGAACGGACTCGCCAATAAAAGATGGGCAGCCTTAGGCCAGCTTGCATTTTTCTAATGAATTCTTGAGGTTCTCATGTTGTGGTCTCTTGATGTAAGGAAGTGGACATAATTTAATTTCCTGAAAAAAAAATTATTTTCCCTTTGCTCAACTGCCCCACCGAAAGGTTCCCTGTGAGTGATGTCTATAGAATCTGATAAATGTGAATGAGATGCCAATCTGATTGGAGGGAGTGAGCATGCGCAGAAAGGTTCTCCCTGGCAATGCCCAAGCACGGGGTCCTATGTGCTCTGCTGGGGACCTCAGGAAGGCCTGTTAGTTACCCGGATACGGAGAAAGGGAAACTGAGGCTTCCTGACATCAGAAGGTGATGGAGGATCTAGACACATCCCCCTGGAGAGCAAGGGTTCGGTGGGCATGACATGTCGGGGCACCCATTTCCACCCCCCCTGCCCGGTCAGTTTCATTTCCGTTACTTCTGAAACGCCCTGGGACCTGAGCAGAATGTGCAGTTTGTAAAGAAGCTCTTGGGTTCAGAAATAGGCCCGAAGTCAGGGCATTTGCATGTAGTGGGAAACCTCAGTCAGACTCAGGCAGAACACGCAGCAGAAATGCTGTGAGGGAAGGCGGTCCATGTGATTGGAACGGAGGCCGATGGAGAGGAGGAGGAGATGAGGGGAGGGGAGGGGAGGGCAGGGGAGGGCAGGACAGCCTCCGGCCACACTGCAAAGCCAACCCCTGTCATTGTATGAGCACAGAACCGGGGCCGATAGGGGAAGGATGAAGCCATGAGCTCGCAGAGTGCAAACACTAGCTCACTCGTCGAGCCCGATTGTGGGTAGAGCAATGGAAGCAATATGATATGCTGCAAAGGGGGGTCTTGTATGTACAAAGTTTACCTTCTAATGGCTCAAATCGTATTTAATTGTGTGTGTTTTTTGTTTATAAATGAAGAAAAGCTATAAGTATAATGTAATTATTTTATAGGTGTACTATTAAATTATAGAACAAATAAAGAGACTCTAGGATTCCATGGGCTCTCGGTGTGACGTGCCATGAAAGAGAAAGTCTGAGCTGGGCTCCGTGGGCAGCCTAGGAGCGCTGAGCTTTAGGAGGGCTTCTGTCCAGCCATGGTGAGTCGAACCCCTAGCCCACATCACGTGATCGCCCGCCTTTGGGGCCCGGCATCTTCAAAGAGAATCAGAACCAGGCATCCAAGAGCAGAAGCGATGGGGGTGGCTCTCAACCCTGGTTTTGGGGAGTTTCCAAGACTCGTACAAGATCCCAGCAGCTGGAGAGAGAACTCTTCTTTCTTTCTTTCTTCCTTCCTTCCTTCCTTCCTTCCTTCCTTCCTTCCTTCCTTTCTTTCTTTCTTTCTTTCTCCTTCCTTCCTCCCTTCCTTCTTTCCTTCCTTCCTTTCCTTCCTTCCTTCCTTCCTTCCTTCCTTCTTTCCTTCCTTCCTTCCATTCTTTCCTTTCTTCCTTTCTTTTAAATATATTTTTATTGATTTCAGAGAGGAAGGGAGAGAGAGAGAGATAGAAACATCAATGATGAGAGAGAATCATTGATCGGCTGCCTCCTGCATGCCGCCTACAGGGGAATGGAGCCCACAACCCCGGCATGTGCCCTTGACCGGAATCAAACCGGGTTCCCTTCAGTCCGCAGGCCAATGCTCTATCCACTGAGCCAAACCGGGTATGAAGAGAGAATTCTTAAAGCTGTTCTCACTGTGTTCCCTGAATAAGAAAGACTGAACCAGGAAGCCTGGAGAAGCTGCTGCAAATAGAAGTCTGCTGTCAACCCTGCCTTCCCTTTAGCAGCCCGGGTACACACTGTGTCTTCCCCGAGCCAGAACTTGTCCTGAGTTTTGTATATTTTCACATTCACTTGTCACGGGTCTCGGCCTTTAATTTAAATCCTTTCGTTTCACAGCATCCCACTTTCTCTCTGAATTGACTTATCTGCCATTCAAGAGACTTAACTACCAATAAAAAAAAAAAGAAAACTTGAATGAAACTGCATACAGTTGGTTTACTGTTGGACTTACAAGGGATTTCATTTAACTCCATAATAAATAATTCAATTTAGCTCATTAAATGGGACCCAACATTCCACTTAAAGGAGACTAAGGAATTCCAATTCACTTGTTTCAGAAGTTGGATGATTGATTTAAAAAAACATTTTTTTACTGATTTTAGAGAGGAAGGGAGAGGGAGAGAGATAAAAACATCAATGATGAGAGAGAAGCATGGACCGGCTGCCTCCTGCACGCCCCACACTGGGGATCAAGTCTGCAACCCGGGCATGTGTCCTGCCGGGGAATCGAACCGTGACCTCTCGGTTCATAGGTCGACTCTCAACCAATGAGCCACGCCGGCCGGGCCTCACCCTTGTTTTATTGGTAGATGTCTTCCTGACAATCTGATTTTTGCCTGTCTGATTTACCACTCAGGGCTCCTCCGTTGTTGTTTTTTTAGGGTTTTTTTTTTTGTTTTTTTAAATAAACCACATACAGAGAAGCTTCTAATAGCAATTGGTGTATCCAGGCCCATTATTGCAAACACAGGATTTTATGACAGAACCTAAGGGTGAGACCTCACCTTGAAAAAGCAGACCCCACTGGCTTTCTCTGAGACCTGTCGCCATGAGCAGCCTCTCTCTGCCTCCTCCTCCCAGACCCACACACGGGGAGGACCTCTCATACACTTCGTGGCTGGAGCGGCGGGCACCGCTCATTTTAATCAGCGCTGGAGTTTGCATTTCGATTCTCCGTGGCTTTGGGATGATTTCAGAGAGGAGACGGGCTACATGCCCCTTTTATCACACCATTTTAGAACACGAAACCTCTTCCTCTTGCTTCTGATGATATAATTGGAGATGTATTCCATGGGAAACAAACCCCCAAAGTACAGCCTTCGAAAGCCCGAGCTCACCAATTGGCTGGGAGGTGGAAATGTTAATGACAAGCCGGTGTCACACAGAGAATGGTCGCACCAGAGCTTGTTAGCAACAACTCTTTCTCCTCCTAAGGTCCTCCTACCTCCCGGCCACAGTCACTTCATTTTTATGAGACTTCGTTTTGCTTTGTTTTTCCTGATTTGTCTGGCCTTTCGTTGAATTGATGTTTTTCTTTTAAATTCCCTCTTTGCTGCCCTGGCTAGTTTGGCTCAGTGAATAGAGCGTCGGCCTGGGGACTGAAGGGTCCCAGGTTTGATTCTGGTCAAGTGCACAGGTAGGGTCCCTAGGCCTGGCCGGCGATCAGTGCCAATCGGGGCCTTCCGGCTGCTGGCCGGGGCCTTCCTTCATTTCACACCACCCCCTGGTGGTCAGCACATGTCATAGTGAGCGATCGAACTCCAGGTCTCCCAGTCGAACTCCCAAGGGGACACTTTTCATATTAGCCTTTTATATATATAGACAGCCCTTCACCACTTATTCTGTACCAAATAAATTTCTGCATCTGACTTCTAAAAGATTTCTCAAACATTAATATGTTGTTGTTCACAAGTGGAAAATACTTTTTTCTTCCAATTACATTAGGAAAACTTCAACCTTTTTCAAAATGTGTTTTGATGTAGCACAACAATTATTTTATCTTGGAAAACAAGCATTCATCAAATACTTAACTATTAACCATTGTAAATAAGAACGTTTAGGAATCTTCACACAGAGATAGTCTAACTTCTTTTCCTCCCAGTTTTAAATGCAATGGCTTCATTTTTGCAATATCCTTGGGCAACATGGCACGCAATAGACACCAAACCTTTGATTACTCATTTTATTTTCATATAAATTAACATCCTAAAAAATTGAAATAGAAACACTAAATACAGTATTGCACATAGCGATCTTTGTTAAATGCCCTATATTTTCATTGAAGAGTATTAATATACACATTGGAAGGAGGGAAGGAGACAGGAAGACTACAAAACTACAACCAAAAAAACCCACTACGGTTTCTCTGCACTCAAATGACAAACTAAGGTAGGAGACCATACTTTACATAAATACAAACTTAGTTGCGAGTCAGAACGCTCTCTTTTTAAGTTGCTTTCCACAATGGGTTTGCAATAGCCATAAATTCTCCTCTTTATCTACAACCATAACCCCCAACAAATATCATTAAAATAATATTTTACAAGCCACACCTACTCATGTCAGACAAAACCATCACAACGCATCATAAGCTGACTCGAAGTACTCTCAGAAGAGTCATAGATTTATTCTTTTCCCTCCAACATAAAATAAAATTCTTTCCTAGGCTCCTTCAAATGATGAATAATTGCATACTCATTTTACAGCTTTGAATCACCTGCCATAACATACAGAGATGGTTCCAGCGATGTTAAAATACTCCAACAGGTGTGTTTAATTAACAAGTTCTAGACAGATGCCAATCCAACAATTAGTCACGTCTGATAATTTTATGAGCATCACTTACTTAAATTCCTCCAAAATATGGCGTCCTATTTTCTTTGTGAAAGGCCATGGCAAAGTGATAGAGACGCACACCTTTCGTTTTCTTCCTTTCTGCTACAGATTCGCTTTATGTAGGGTTTCCAAAGACGGTCTGATAAAAGCCCTCGATAAACAAAACACTGACTTCTGCCTAAATGAAATGATTTATAAGAAGGGGGTTTCCTTCTGCTCTATTTTTTTTCATTCTCTTACCAGCAAAAATATGATCATCTTCTTTCACAAATATATATTTATGGAGAGCAACCCGAAGAGTTGGGAAAGCCTTCATGATGACAGATCAACGGTACTTAACTCTTAGGATAGAAAATACAGACGTAGATGTGAAACTGATATAGCTCACTAGAAATGACATTTCAACCATACACCCGCACGCGGTCATGGGGAGCACTGGTTGTCAGTAGAAAGGAGTCTTGCTGTAGAAGGAATATCCTCAGAAAAGTCTATTTTAGGTTAATGTGTAGCATGTTCAGAATTAATGCAGATACTGCCTCCTCTAACATGTTCTCTCGGTCTATCCGTGTAATACCATAAGCTTTTACAAAAAGGAAGGGTGTCCCATTCCCCACTGGTCTGCTGCTTTTGCATGTTCATAGGAACGTACTAGAAAACACGGAGATGAGGCAAGGGGTCAAGAAGACAATGGTCGGAATGATGCCGTTCCCTTCCGGCCTTCGGGTCGGCGGAATGTTGTGTAATTGGCTAGAGGGTGACCATCCTGTTTTCCTTTGTTCAGGTTTTCATGCTGATCTTTGCTTTCTGAAAAGAAACGCACCAGGTAAGAGGGATCGTTAGAAACAAGAAGTTTACAAATGTATGGAGTTTAGAGGAGCCCAATCAAGACCTTTTCGTTTGGACCAAATTCCCTGGGAAAGGTGAAAGGTCAACCAGCCCACACAGGAAAAAAAATATATAACTAGAATACGTTTCATCTTTTAGAATTTTCACCAAGACAGACCACTCAATAATTTTGAGTGGAAACCAAGATTTTAAAATTTAGTTTCTAATGGATGGGAAAGAGCGCCAACCCAACTTGCTCATTCCCGGTTTTATGTACACATACGCTAACAGGAAAATTGAATTGGCTGTATCACAGCATGATTGGGGTTAACTACTAAATAATTATTCCTTCTCATCCAATGCACTTTAAATTTGGACTTTAATCAAAATGACAGAAAAGAAGGTAAACCATCATATCCTACCTGTCATTAGCGAAGAATGATTCTGATACAGAGAAACTGAATGGAAAATAGCTTTTATTTTTCTAATTTTTTTGCATTTGCTTATTTATTTAGGTAGCTAGCTAATTAATGAGTGTGCTTAGCTAACAGTTCAAGACTCATTGTCTTGCTGTCCTGTCATTTTTACATTTTATTTTTCAATTATAGTTGACATTCAGTATTATTTTATATTAGTTGCAGGTGCACAGCATAGTGTTCAGACAATCATATAATTTACAAAGGGATACCTCTGATATTTCGAGTACCATACATACTTATTAAGTATTATTGACTACATTCCCTATGCTGTACTTTACATCCTGGGACAATTTTGTATCTAACAATTTGTAATTCTTAATCCCTTCACCCTTTTCGTCCTGCTTCCCCCCCACCCAAACCTCCTCCCATCTGGCAGCCTTCAATTTGTTCTCTGTAACTATGAGTCTGTTCCTGTTTTGTTTATTCATTTATTTTGTTCTTTAGATTTTACGTATAAGTGAAATCATATGGTATTTGTCTATCTCTGTCTGACTTATTTCACTTAGCACAATATCCTCTAGGCCCATCCATGTTGTCACAAATAGTAAGATTTCATTCTTTTCTGTGGTCAAGTAATATTCCAATGTATATGTGTACCACAAATTTTTTTTTTAATCCACTCATCTATTGATGTGAAATTGGGTCGTTTCTATATCTTGGCTACTGTAAGTAATGCTGTAATGAACCTAGGGGTGTATATATCTTTTAGTGTTTTGGATTTCGTTGGCTAGATACGCAGAACTGGAATTGCTGAGTCTTGAGGCAGTTCTATTTTTAATTTTTGAGGAATCTCCATATTGTTTTCCAAAGTGGCTGCACCAATTTGTAATCCCCGTCAACAATGCCAGAGGGTTGCCTTTTCTCCAATACGTGTGTTTATTGATTTGTTGATGATAGCCATCCTGTAAGGAGGTATCTCATTGTGGTTTTAATTTGCATTTCTCTGTTGATTCTTGATGTTGAGCATCTTTTTATATGTCTATTGGAATAATGTCTATTCAGGTACTTTGCCCATTTTTTAAATTGGAAGGGTTGCCTTTTCTCCAATACGTGTGTTTATTGATTTTTTGATGACCATCCTGACAGGTGTAAGGTGGTATCTCATTGTGGTTTTAATTTGCATTTCTCTGATGATTCTTGATGTTGAGCATCACCATATGTCTATTGGAATAATGTCTATTCAGGTCCTTTGCCCATTTTTAAAATTGGATTGTTTGTTTTGTTGGTGTTGAGTTGTATGAGTCTTTATAAATTTTGTATATTAACCCCTTGTCAGATGTATCAATGGTGAATATTCTCTTCCATTCAGTAGGTTGCCTTTTCATTTTGTTGATTGTTTCTTTGCTGTGCAAAAGCTTCGTAGCTTGATGTAGTCCCATTTGTTTTTTCTTTTGTTTCCCTTTCCCAAGGAGATATATCAAAAAAAAAATATTGCTGAGAGAAACATCAGATATTTTATTGCCTATCTATTTTTTCTAGGGTTTTTAGGGTTTCAAGTCTTACATTTAAGTCTTTAATCCATTTTTAGTGTATTCTTGTATATGTTTCCATTTAAATGTATCTTCTTCAATTTCTTTCTTCGATGATTTATAATTTTCTGAGTATAGGTCTTTTGTCTCCTTGGTTAAATTTATGCCTAGGCATTTTTCTTTTTGATGCAATTGAAAATGGGACTGCTTTCTTAATTTCCCTTTCTGATCATTCATGATTGGTGTATAAAAATGCAACTGACTTATTAATATTATATCCTGCTACATTACTGAATTCATTTTTCATTCTAGTAAGTTTTTGGTGGAATCTTTAGGACTATTTATATGTAGTATCAGGTCATCTGCAAATAGTGACAATTTTACTTCTTTCCAAATTGGATGCTTTTTATTTCTTTTTCTTCTCTGATTGCTGTGGCTAGGACTGCCAAGACTATAGTGAATAAAAGCTGTGAAAGTGGACAACCCTGTCTTGTTCTTGATCTTAAGAAAAACATCTTTAGCTTTTCCCCATTGAGTATGTTAACTGTGGGCTTGTCATATATGGCCTTTAGTATGTTGAGGTACGTTCCCACTTTACAGAGAGCTTTTATCATAAATGAATGCTGGATTTTGTCAAATGCTTTTTCTGCATGACTATTTATATGTAGTATCAGGTCATCTGCAAATAGTGACAATTTTACTTCTTTCCAAATTGGATGCCTTTTATTTCTTTTTCTTCTCTGATTGCTGTGGCTAGGACTGCCAATACTATAGTGAATAAAAGCTGTGAAAGTGAACAACCCTGTCTTGTCCTTGATCTTAAGAAAAACATCTTTAGCTTTCCCCACTGAGTATGTTAACTGTGGGTTTGTCATATATGGCCTTTAGTATGTTGAGGTACGTTCCCACTTTACAGAGAGCTTTTATCATAAATGAATGCTGGATTTTGTCAAATGCTTTTTCTGCATCTTTTGATATGATTTCCCCCCTTCTTTTTGTTTACGTGGTATATCACATTAATTGATTAGTACCTATTTTACCAACCTTTCATCCCAGAGATAAATCCCACTCAACCATGGTGTATGATCTTTTGAATGTATTTGCTAGTATTTTGTTGAAGATTTTTGCATCTATGTTCATCAGGGATATTGGCCTATAATTCTTTCATTGCAGTGTCTGTATCTGGTTTTGGAATTAGGATAATGCTGGCCTTGTAAAATGAGCTTGGAAGCCGTTCCTTCTCTTGAATTTTTTGGAAGAGTTTGCGAAGGATAGGTGTTAATTCTTCTCTGAAAATTCACCTGTGAAGCCATCTGGTCCAGGACTTGTGAAGGGAAAACCGCCTGGCACTGAAGTCGCAACTCATAACTTTTTCTAAAGAGGGCTATTTAGTCATATAAAAACTTGGGTTGTTTTAATATCTTTTCCATTTAGGCTACGTTAGACTAATCCAGTTGAACATTTTCCCATTTTAAAACCTAACCCGACTTTTCATCTAAAAGAGCATCATTTACTTAGTCTGTGGCACCAAGTGATAATCCCTCGCAACATTCGGCAAAACATTGACCGTGTCCACGAGGTCACGAGGGAAAACTCATCATTCGCACTAAGCCCTCCCCTCCCAGGGTGCAAAACTTGGCATTTTCTTTTGAAGGAAGAAGTGGGCAAGGAGGAAACTTAGAACAGCTTGTTCAACTCGGTTTCCTGACTGACAGCTGTGAAGCAGCCAACTGTGTAGAGACATTTATGGGGACGAACCAGGTGTGAGCCCTCTGGTCTTAGCAAAGAACCACTCCGCACTTGGCTTTTCCCGTTATGTTTCAGATCCCAATGGCGCTAATGCAATTCTAACAGCCACTCAGCCCTGGGCTGTGGTCATGTGTAATGAAGAGGGTGAAGGATCACCCCCCAATTCCTGCTGGTATCCCCATATCCACATATAAGCACTCAGTAGATTTATCTTACTTCTTAAGCTTGGATGCTGAACACTGAGATGCTTCTTAGCCTCTTGGGCCTAATTAAAGCCCTTGGGAAGAAGGAGTTCTTTAAGTTCGAAGCTCATTATTTATTCAAACTTAAGAGAAAAATCATTAAAACACTCCATGTTTGTATATATTGTCAACACAGTGTTTAAAAGCCAAAGAAAAAAATCACAGGTTGAAGAACAGAAAAGTGAGGTACTTACAATCCCGGAGTCGTGTCTTGGCTTTATTTTATAAAGTGATTTCCCCTTTTTCTGCCTACACACCTCTTCAGCTTCTTTCACTCTGGGTGGGGAGAAGACACGGGAATTTGTGAATTGGAACAGAGACCTACACAGATCACAGCAATTCACCTTACAGTTGGTGAGCAAGCATCAACTCTTTAAGGATTTGAATTATTGGGGAAAAAATACACAGAAATGTCATCTGACATTTGATTTAAAAACGTAGAATGGTAAAAAATAAAAATAATAAATAAATAAATAAATAAATAAATAAATAACGCAGTGAACCTCAGAGGGAAGGCGGGGGAGGGTGGGTGGGTGGAAAGAGATCAACCCATGAACTTGTGTGCATAGATGTGTCACCCATGGACGCAGACAATAGGGGGTGAGGGCCTGGTGGGGGTTTTGGGGGTGTTGGAAGTGGCCTGGAAAATGTTAAAGGGGAAAAAAGAAGATCTATGTAATACTTTCAACAATAAAGATTTTAAAAATAAAAAAAATAAATAAAAACATAGACTGTCAGAGCTAGAGGCAAATTCATCCGGGGGTTCTTAACTTGGAATCAAAGGATGCAGAATGGAATCATATACAAAAAGATGAATATTTTTATGTACACATTTCATCCTCTATTAAAAAAGTCTTTTATACAAGAAAGTATATAAAAATGATATACAAGACAGCAAAGAAAAAGTCCTCATTTTTCAGGTGAGCATACTCAGATTGGCTCTCTTCCATGAATAGGACAGACACTATAACATAAACCCAGAAGCACTAAAATAATTAAATTAACAGCATCACATAAAAACTCACAAGCTTCCTTAAAATGACTTCAGAGTCACTTTCCACACCACATTCAGACTCATGCATGAAAGTCCATGGCACTGAATACTTGGGTGGTTTTTAAAAAATGGAATTTCATCAGGCATGGGAACCAATCATTTAATTGAAAACAGAAAATGGAGAGTGAGCAATAATGACATTTTCATACCACGAGGATGTCTTTTTAAACACACACGCCAAGGAAAACAGTAATGCATTCGCCAGAGGTAGAGTTAAAAGAGGATGTTATTGGGAGATTAAGTTCTGGCTTTGCTAGGGACATTGGGCAACGTCTTGATATTCTGATGCCATTGACCTTGTATTCCCTCAAACAGCAAAAGGGATCAATGATATATCACAGCATTACTATTACTACTACACAGAGCTGTTGCAAAGATTAAAAATATTATTTAAAGTTTCTTTCTAAAAACTTAAAATACTATAAACAGCTACGCAGGTTTACTTCAAAGGTACCGTAGGACATCTACAAACTAGAATCCTATTAATATAAAGGGGTACCAGAGGAAGGAAAATGACCTATCTGATTAATGGTATTTGTTATTATGGTTTACTGAGGGAATGAAAAAATCGAAGTATTTCTGAAGAAAGTAAAAAGGCCATGACATTTTAATAAAAGACTCTGTGTGTACGTCTGGAAGGCTATTTTGTCAAAGAAATGAATTATAAATCTATTTCTCCAGTCCTGTGGCAGAAGACTAATGAGAGAATTCATTTCCAAGGGAGCTGAGTGAATCTCTGGTCTTACACAGCTGAATGGAAGAAATCATCCAATACAGGAGCCACAGGTTGATGCCAGACTTTACCTGAAGGTGTGACCAATGAAACTAACTCCTTCAGGACATAAAATGCCTGTGGGGTTGATATTGTTAGCAATTCCAGAAAATGATGACACTCCATTGTTAACACTTTTCAGACTTTCCACCCAGGCCATAAACCTCCTTTAATCCTTTCTCCAAACATTTGAAGACAAAAATATGTTCTTTAGAACAAACCGAGGATTGCAGAGTCCCCATCCTCCTCTAAAGCCACGATCAGTAAATTCAAAATGAAGTATTTGGACAGGGAATTAAGGAAACTTCTTTCGTAGCCAATATCCAGTATATTCCCTCTTAAATTTGCTTGGAGCACTTTATAGCATTTGGGGACATTTCTAAAAATGGCCGTCACAAGCATTTAGATCACCAAAGCCTCTTCATGTTCTCTCTGTCTTATTTATCTTGTTCTCAAAACACATCTTTGGAAGGATCACAGGAAGCCGCGTCTAATACGCACATATTTAATTTTACACAAAAACCAATCCGGCCATTCCTCACGGCAGAGATGATGAGAACGACAAAGAATGTGCGTCAACGAACCCTCCCAAGATCGTTGAGCTCATCCATTTATTTGACAATCATTTATGGAGGAGCAACTGCAGGTCAGGCACTGGGATGGGCTCAGTTTTATAAGGACAATTAAACTCAAGGTCTAACAGGAGAGAGACACACATAAGCAAGGGGAGCGCATGGATTGGCCCCCTCCTGCACGCCCCGCACTGGGGATCGAGCCCGCCCGCAACCTGGGCATGTGCCCTGATGGGGAATCGAACCGTGACCTCCTGGTTTATAGGTCGACGCTCAACCACGGAGCCAGACCTGCCGACCTAACCAGCCTTTTAATTCTTTTCAGAGAACTGAGTTTTCCAACTATCTTCCTGGAGATGCTTTCTTAATCTCTTTTCTTAATTATGAAACTTCCCCTCTAATGTTATTTTTCCTCCCAGGGCTCTAATCTGGACTCTGATCTTGACCGTGATTTCATTGGAAATCTCCACTTCACAATTCCAACTACCCTTTCTACGCTGCAGACTTCAGACCTGCACCTCCAGCTCTGGCCTCCCCAGCCCCATGGTCCAAATCCTGGTTGACAGTATTCTTCTTTCTCTCTCACCTGGGCGTTGGTTAAGCACATAACCAGTCACCCTCTGAGCAATTCCTCTCTCTCTTCACCACCCCCTCATGCATATGCAAATAGTCAACAAATTCTGTTATTCATTATTCTTTAATGATTTTAAAAATCTGCCCCAATATCTCTAATTCTATTGATTTTTTTTTGTTTGTTTCTGTTAATCTTCACCCGCAGATATTTTTTTTCCCATTGATTTTTAAAGAGAGTGGAAAGGTAGGGGAGAGACACAGAGAGAGAACCATCGATGTGAGAGAGACACATGGATCGGCTGCCTCCTGCACGCCCCCTACAGGGGATCCAGCCTGCAACCCGGGCATGTGCCCCGACCAGGAATCGAACCGTGACCTCCTGGTTCATAGGTCGACGCTCAACCACGGAGCCAGACCGGCTGAGCTAACCAGTCTTTTAATTCTTTTCTTTTCAGAGAACTGAGTTTTCCAACTATCTTCCTGGAGATGCTTTCTTAATCTCTTTTCTTAATTATGAAACTTCCCCTCTAATGTTATTTTTCCTCCCAGGGCTCTAATCTGGACTCTGATCTTGACCGTGATTTCATTGGAAATCTCCACTTCACAATTCCAACTACTCTTTCTACGCTGGAGACTTCAGACCCGCACCTCCAGCTCTGGCCTCCCCAGCCCCATGGTCCAAATCCTGGTTGACAGTATTCTTCTTTCTCTCTCACCTGGGCGTTGGTTAAGCACATAACCAGTCACCCTCTGAGCAATTCCTCTCTCTCTTCACCACCCCCTCATGCATATGCAAATAGTCAACAAATTTTGTTATTCATTATTCTTTAATGATTTTAAAAATCTGCCCCAATATCTCTAATTCTATTGATTTTTTTTTTGTTTCTGTTAATCTTCACCCGCAGATATTTTTTTCCCCATTGATTTTTAAAGAGAGTGGAAAGGTAGGGGAGAGACACAGAGAGAGAACCATCGATGTGAGAGAGACACATGGATCGGCTGCCTCCTGCACGCCCCCTACAGGGGATCCAGCCTGCAACCCGGGCATGTGCCCCGACCAGGAATCGAACCGTGACCTCCTGGTTCATAGGTTGACACTCAACTATTGAGCCACTCTGGCTGGGCTAAGACTAAATCTTGTAAAACTCTGAACATGTAAATGATGGCAGTTTAAAATAAGTTTTGAAAAGAAACTATTTAGAAAAACTGGCCACATGATTTATCAAATGCTGGGGAACAGTACTATAACCGGACACATTTTGAACTCTATTCAAGGAAAAGTAGTAATGGAAACACAACGGGCTTTAGAGTTCATCTTTGAAAAAGGAAAGCACGTAAGACTGTCCAGAGAAAACACAACTGCCACCACATTCTCTTGCTTCTAACTTCTAGGAGGAATTTTTTTTCAAAATAAGAAATGTGAACTACCGTTAGTATAAATCTAACAATCCAGAAGACTGAGACATTTCTCCAGTGGTCTTTTAGAAAAAAAAAATCCTCCATATAAACTGAGATTAATTTTTAAACTTGAACTTAGTGAAGACATTTCTGAGGACATTTCTAAAAACTCTAGGACAGTCGGCATATTTCCTCGATTATCTCAAACTAGAGGCCCAGTGCACAAAATTCGTGCAAGGAACTCGGCCCTCGTAGCCCTGGCTTTGTCTGGAAGGTCGTTCGGCTGTCCGGTCTAATTACCATATTACGCGTTAATTATTATAGATTGCAATGGCCTCAACTGAACAGCAGTCAGCAAGGGGCCCCTCTCGGACAAGTGCTGGGACTACCAACAACTCCGTGCTGGTGAAGGAGGGAAATCAATTCCCTTCTGGGATCAGATGAGTAAACAGCAGAGTTCCCATCCCATTGTGTGAATAAGGGGCCTGAATTATATTCTGTCAAACCAGGAGTAGCCTTCGTCCATGATCTCCCACAGGAACTTAACATGGTATCCGAAAATGTGGACAAATCTAGAACGTTCCAGTTAGGACTTTTTAAAGTGCTTAGAAAATTGGTTCTCAACCTTCCTGATGCCACGACCCTTTAATACAGTTCCTCGTGTTGTGGTGACCCCCAACCATAAAAATTATTTTCGTTGCTACTTCATAACTGTAATGTTGCTACTGTTATGAATCGTCATGTAAATATCTGATCTGCAGGATGTATTTTCATTGTTCGCGACCCATAGGTTGAGAACCGCTGGCTTAGATGATAATCATTTAATAGTCATTTGAATAGGATATGGATGTTCCTACACACATTAGAAATGTTAAGCTTCTGATCACATTTTTCATCGCTAATTTGA